TCCATCTCCTCAAGAACACACCTTGGTGGAAAAACTGACAGTATACTTTTCTTCATTATATGAGATGTGCCTCACCTTATAATCATACTCACCTGCAGACCTGTTAAATATACAACAACTTAGACACGCATCTTAATGAAAAAATGTAAAACACGCATGTTAATGAAAAAATACCTCACAATCTAATTGTTTGTTTTTTCAGATTATTTTGCAAAAAATTTCTTGATATTGGGTAGAATATCACCTTCAAACTTGGAAAATTTATGTCTGTTTAACTCTCACCTTTGCATGAGATACACTTTGATTTCTTCAATAATTGTTATGATTGGCTTGACCATAACTCTCACAAACACGGAGTTGAAAGCCTCTGATATGTTGTTCACCAAGGTATCACAGAAAGGATTGGTCTTGAAGAAAACCTTGGTCCAAAACCTAGCTAGTAACTTTATTAAATGGTTGAATGCATCTTCATTAACAACCTTCATTTCCAACATAGTTTTTTCAAAAGCATTTGTATAACTGGTTGTAGCAGCTTTCCACATTAACTCCTTGAGTTTAATTCCTGAGAATTTCTTCCTAAAGTCGTTGTATAGATGCCTTCATTTACAGACCAATAATAAGCATTCAAAAAATCAATAATAGGCATTCAATTAACATTCACTAAATAAGGTATATACCTGACACAAATCTCTGGTCCATTTGTGGCAACAGTTCTTCTAGAGTTGGTAAGAGTCCTTATATATATGTACGCATCAATCATCAAATAGATCTAGAAATGAACAACATATTAAGGAAATTAATTAAGTAAGTAACTTTTGTTGGTCACTTATGAATGTGTATGTTTTGCACAACATTGTACCTCCTAGATCAAATATAATCAATTCAAGGAACCAAATCCATAAATCTTTGGTTTCTCCTTCTACAACAGCAAATGCAATTGGCATCATCTGATCATTTGGATCCCTTCCAATTGCACCAAGTATCTGTCCACCATAGTAACCTTTCAAGAAGCAACCATCCAAACTTATTATAGGCATGCACTTGAAAAAACTGCCCTTGCATGCCTTAAAACAGATGTAGGTCCTTTGAAAATAAGGGCTCAACTGACTTTCAAAATTCTCAATGTTTTCTTTTCCACCTTGGTATGGTTGACTTGTAACTTTCATTGTTGAACCAGAACTGGACCTCAGCAGTTCATGTGCATAGTCATGTATTCTTTTGTACTGCTCCCTAAAAGATCCATCTACAATATCAATTGCCATAATTTTTTCCCCGTATGCAAGAGTTTTGTTGATCCCCACATTCTATTTTTGCTGGGTCTTCTCCATGATGTCACTTAGCTTTAAACTAGGATTCTCCCTCACATTGTTCTGTATCTTACTACTGAGCCACTTAGATGTGAGAAAACTCACCTTGTAATCTCTATTACATGTGTGTTTATCAATAATATTTCTGAGCTACCATGTATCTTCATTTTGAATTTTTGCACAATATTCCTCCCATGGACAACCTTTTTTACATATCACTCTCATTCTTTTCTTGTCATTTTTCTTGAACTTCATGTTCCTACCATTGTGTATGGAATATGTCCTAATATCATCCTTGAAATCTTGTTTAGAAGCAAAGTATGTCCCCAATTCCCACTTATAGTCATTCATCCTTTTAGGCATTTTGAAAGCTTGCCAATCCGCTTTTCCAACACAGTCATCTTCACTAAAATACTCTTCAAAGCCATCCTCACTATTCTCATCCTCTATGTCACTCAAACCCTTCAAATTTAAATTTGGTTCTTGCTTATATGCATCACACTCATCCAAAAGAATTCTTTCACCAAATGCTTCACACTCATTAATTTTCTTATATAGTCTTCCAACTTTCCTTTTACCTTTACCCTTCCCCTTACCTTTACCCTTCCCCTTACCTTTATCTTTCCTTTTTTCCCATACCTTTGTTCATCAACCACTTCATCTTTTGAAATTTCATTTTCAGAAACTACTATGTCTTCATTCATAACCACATCATCATCAGAATCTTCAAAATTGATCCCCAATGCACTGTCATCACAGTCACCATCTCTTCCCTCATCTATTCCCTCATTAACCTCTATATTACAGTTTGCATCCTCAACTACCTATTTGTTACAGTTCATTCCCTCTTCTGCCTCTATGTTACATTCCAGTCCCTCTTCTGCCTCTTTATTACAGTTCAGTCCCTCTTCTGCCTCTTTGTTACAGTTCAGTCCCTCTTCTCCCTCATTGTTACAGTTTAGTCTCTCGCCTCCCTCATCATGTTCAATTTCGGTGGTCCCCTCATCATGTTCAACTTTAGTGAGTCCCTCGTCATGTCTAACCTCAGTGACCCCCTTGTCTCTAGCTTCCATATCATGAATGACATATGTGGTCCCCTTGTCATTTATGTCTCCTCCTTCCACATCAGCTTCAACTTCAATGTCTCCTTCATCCATAACACTCTCAATTTCAGTGGCACCTACTTCAACATTATACTCAAGTGATAATATTGATTCCTCAATTACATCAACTTATAGGATAGAATTCATAACATATAAATGCATTTTCCCAGTCAACTCAGCAATTGTATGCATCCTCCCAATTCCATTGTCATCTTTCAACTCCGCTATGCTATTTGATCATAATACCAAAGGTTCTCTATAGTTGGATAACCTAAATCCTTTAACTCACCCAATACTTCGAAGTAGCTCCAAAAATCAGGCTCAACATTCCAAGTTTCCTCTAATCCATTATAACCTAATTTCGTGAGCTCAGCAAACTCACCCCCATTATGAACAATGTATTTAAAACGACTATCAATGACTAGGGATGGTAACGGGGCGGGGAAGGGGAGGGTTTAACTATACCCGCACCCGCACCCGCCTCCATATAACACACCCGCCCTCAAGCCGAAGCCCAAGCCCAATCGGGGTGAAAATTTACCACCCAGACCCGCCCCGCTCCCACCCGTAAAAAATTAATTTCTTTTTAATTGTAATAAAAATTAATAATTTCATTAAAAAATTGATTATTTTAATAAATTAATTAATTATTTAATTAAAAATTTAATTAGTAAATGAATATTAACTTGATTAATTTGATTATTTTAATTGCAATAAGGGCATTAATAATTTAATTAAAAATATAATTAATAAATAAATATTAAAATAAGTAAAATAAGGGAATTAAAGTAAAATACATTATCCGGGGCGGGGCGGGTGTGGACGGGTCTTAAGGTCTACCTGCACCCGCACCCGTAGTTAAGAACTGCGTTTCGCCCGCACCCGCACCCAATTAAATCGGGTTTTCCCCGTTAATTTTGGGGCGGGTGCGAGCGGGTCCGGGTTTGTTTGTCATCCCTATCAATGACCTAGATACAGTAACTACATGAGAAATACATCTAAGAAAGATGAAAAATCCTAAATGAGAAATACAACTAACGAAGAGGAAATAGATACATTTTGCATTATTTGTACCTTAAAATAGATGATGGAGGTTGTTCTTCTTTCTCTTAGTAAGGAAAATTCCACAAACCCTAAAAGTGAAGATGAAGGAAGTATCAGTAACGAAGAAGAACAAAAATGTATGAAACGAAAATGAAGATGAACGAAATATCAGAAAGGAGGATGAACTAAAATGTATAAAACGAACAAACTTAACAATGAAAATACATTGACGAACGAAGATGAAGATGGATGATAACTACACGAACGAAGATGAAGATGAACGATAACTTTGCGAACGAAGATGAAGATGGATGCTAGTTTCGTTAGGGTTTTCTCACAGAGCTCAAGTGAAGTCAAAATGAAACAAACTGGGTTAAAATAAAACTTTTAAAACTCATTTACTTTTTATTCAAAATGTCTTAACATAAATTCATGTCACCTAAGGAAGCACCTTTGGACTGCCACCCTAGCAAAAACTAACGGAAATACGCATCTTCTAACATAAAGGATGACATTGGCTAACGGAATTATAAATAAGGGACCTGAAACGAACGTTTATTACATAAGAGACTGAACTGAAAATTAAAATTAAAGCTTAATACATTTTTTGGTCTCGTATCTTAACCTCGTGATTTATTTTGGTCCCTTAACTTTTAAAAGGTCCATATTGGTCTCTTAACTCTTCAAAACGTTCTAAATTAGTCATTTTTATCTAACTAGCTACGAATTTAGCGGCTGAGTTTTAAATTTTTCCATCGCTAATAAGATAAAAAGGACTAATATAGAACGTTTTGAAGAGTTAAGGGACCAGTATGAACCTTTTTAAAATTAAGGGACAAAAATGAACTCTAAGATTAAGATACAGGACCAAAAAAGATATTTTATCTAAAATTAAATTAAGAGATCAAAGAATACATTAAGCCTATAAAAAATATAAAAAGATAAATTCGAATTTAAAAAATGTTGGACACACTCTATAGGCAGAATGAGCATTTCCCATTTTTTTAAATCTTCAATATATTTAAGTTGAAAGTTAACTGTTCGTTTAGTTTTATATACTTGTTTTTATGAGATTTAATATAGCTTTTTTTTTAATCTTTTAATACTTTTTAAATTGAAATTTACCTAATCTCTTGATTTAATAGTGAAAGTTTTAAAATTTGTTCCTCTCAAAATCTCAGGTTTGAATCTTGTTAGATATAATTAATTTTTGTGTTAGATCAATTTATACAGAACTTTACTCTGACTTTAAACAGATTCTCCGCTAGTAGACAATAGAATTGATACTCTTAAATTGGTCAATCACAAGACTAGATGGACACCAAGATTTTAAAAAAAAATGAATGTGACCTATTCATATACTTGTTTTTATATGTTTTTCTTTTATGAGATTCAAATTATTACTTTTATGAAATTTAATTTTATTATAAATAACACCAATCACAAACCGTTACATAGTACAAGTTGCTCGTCATTTCTGCTACAAGAACTACACGTTCAATAATTGTACAAAATTCCGGCAGCCACGGCTAATTTTAAATTCAGATCAATTCCAGTTTCCTCTTCCATTTGAATTTTGACCTCTACTATCGGATAATGAACCCTGGCCTTGATGGCTTGATCTCTTCTTTTTGTGAGTATTCCAGGAGAAAACATTCTGGTCCAGACCACTTCCGCCGACATCCTCGTATGCCTGTTTCTGAAATTTTGTTCTTTCAGGCCGGAATCTCTTTGAGGAAGGAGAGGTATGCAAACTATCTTCATTTTCCATGGGGGAAATTTTAGTCCTTGACCCAAATAAGCTTTCATCTGCCCCTGGATTATCACTGGCTTGTGCTATGCTGTCAGATGAGAGATAATCTCTTGACTCTCTTCTTTTTCCTTTAGCTGAAACCTTTGACATGTCACCCCCATTCTCCATAGCCATCATCCATTGTTGCTCACTTAATGTATCAGCATATACCACGTCTTTTCTTTTTCGCTTTCCAGTAACACCACTGCTGAAACTTTTGGACTTGTCATCCTTTTGAATTGGAGCATACACCCATTCTGGCAATTCATGCTCTTCCATGAGACGTGATCTGTAGTTTTCCTTTTGTCTTCTCTCTTCATCCATTTTCTCGAACAGCCAAAATTCCTCATCTGATCGAGCAGCAAGGCGGTTAATTTCTCTCTCACTAGGTACATCTGCCCCAAGTGAACTTGAGCCTCGTCGCATAATCTCCTCCAACATTTCTCTTCTGTCCTGGGCTGCACAAATAAGAACACCACAAGTTCAAATAATTTTCATCTTTTAACAATATGACCTAAGGACCACTGACATGGTGGACCCGCACATTAATTAAAAGGGTCCCATTAAAATTTAAAATATTCCAACTCTGATTTGTTTGAATTGAAAGAAAGTAAGGGAAAGTAAAGTGTGATGGTATTTGATCAGAGAGGGAGTCAATAATTTCGGTTAGGAGAACTTGGTAAAAAAGATTCATCATACTTCGGCAAGCTACACGACTAGTATATAGGATAGGGAATGACTCTTCAGAAGCAAACTATAATAAAAAAACTTATGATGAAGTGCTGACTCGGAATATCGTGATTATAAATGGTATTTCTGATATTGAGGTGTCTTAAGAATATGTGGGTAGGTCAAACTCAACCCTACAAACCGGCTTTGTAAGGTGTGGGTTGCCCAAGCTTTATAAACACTACACAAGTCCTATCTCTAAACAATGTGGAACTAAATCCACCCATTCAAACCCAACACAATGTAAGTGTTGGAGGCTGCAATTAAGGCAAGCCAAATGCTGCAAACATGGTAAAGAAGACAACACAGCACAACACTTTATATCATTGTCCTGTTTGCCTTTCAAAAAAAAAGGGTAGAAGCATTAATGCAAACACGGTAAACTTCCTGTTTTGAGACTGAAGTTTAAAAAAAAATCGAGGAATAAGGGTTTAGTGAGAGAACCTGATAGTAGATCATGAGCAGGAAAGGAGGAATGGCTTATTTAGAAGAGGTAGGAGAGGAATATGTCTCAGTAGAATTAGGAGGGGTAGGATGGTAGTGGTGATGAGGACTTTGGAGGTAAAGAAGACAGGTGAACAATAATGGTAAAGGAATAAGAAATGGCATACAAGAAGCCAAAGGCAATATGGGAAGAACAAGGATGAAAGAATGAGCAGAATGGGAAAATGACAATGATATTCACTAAACGAAACACCTTTGGAGACATACTGGAACCAAGGCAAGAGGCGAGTAATCAAAAAAGATGTGTGCTAAGACCCGGAATCAAATTTATGTTGATTGTAAGGTCTAAGTGAAGATAAAAAGACAGCAAAAACCTGCTTAAAGGCATACTATGTATATGCAAAGAGCCACTGGAGGCCGTTTATAAAGAATAAGAAACAATTTGATGGCATAAACCTGCTTTAAAGCAATGAATAAAACAAACCTCCCCTCTCCCTCTTTTAGTTTCAACAAGTAAGAGAAATTATTTCCATCTTAAGCCAAAATATAACTATTGATAGATATCACCAGTACAAAGCAAGCATCAAGAGCTACAAACCTGTTGAAGTTGTGTTGAAAAGTCCTGCCTGAATGACTTTGGCATCTATACCCATCTTTTGTTTTGCACGCTCCAAAATTACCTCTTCAATTGATCCCACACTTACCAACACAAAAACCCGAACTTCCTTTTTTTGTCCAATGCGATGAGCTCGGTCCTCGGCTTGTTGATCCATTTGTGGGTTCCAGTCGCTGTCAAAGATTATAACAGTATCTGCTGTTTGTAAGTTCAAACCAAGACCACCAGCCCGGGTGCTTAATAGAAACATAAAGTATGGGGAGTCAGGAGCATTAAATTTCCGTAGTAAAGAGCCTCTTTCTTCAGTTTTCGTTGAGCCGTCAAGTCTAAGATACTTGAAATCATGAAGTCTTAAATAAACTTCGAGAGTGTCCATAAGTCGAGTCATTTGTGAGAAAAGGAGGACTCGGTGACCAGCTCTGCGAAGTTTTGGAAGCAAACGGTCAAGAAGTTCAAATTTACCTGATGCTCTGACAATCTCCTCCTTACATTTATACATATCATAGTCTCCCACAAAGAGGTAAGGATGGTTACAACACTTTCTGAGTTGCATGGTTAAGTTCTGTAGACTTTTCGATTTTCCAGAACCTACAAAATTTAGGAAAGATTTTAATGCAGGTTCTTATAAATCAGGCTAACATAAAAGGACCTAGAAATCATCAATTGTTAAATGGGTAGTTTTTTTGCCACAAAAAGAAGACAGCAAGATACAATATAAAGTGATTGCAGACCACATTTATATTGAATTAATAATCACATTTCACCAATTCGTTAGAAAGTCGCAACTGACAAGAATATATGAAGGAGAATCGGGAGAGATATGATTTTTTATCTTACTTATTTCTATTTGATTTTAGTATGATTTGTCTTGTTTTAGTTCATCAGTAGCCCCAAATCCTAATTATTTGAACACCATTTATCGTAATTACTTTTATATAAGAAACATAAAAGTATTTTTTGCATTACTTTCTACGATATTGACAAGTGCAATTATGTGATTAAAGGGAAAATAGCCTTATGGCTTACTTCCAAAAAGAAGGCCTAAACTAAGTCAATAACATATTGAAAACACAACGAAACTCGTGGTTCTGAAATATGAAAACTAACCAAATTAGCCAACAGAGACAAATAGCCAAACAGCGTGCAATGGTAATAGAGAAATACATTTGGCATACCCTTTTCGAAATCAAAGCATTTGGGGGAAAATTGCATTTGATCGAGTTAAAAAGGACAAGTGGGCAACAGGAAATAAGAAAGAAAAAAAGAAATACGATACAGACCATTGTCCAAACCAACTCTGCCTACATCAGTAACTTGTTGATAATAAACTTTCTGCCAGGCTGACATATCACATTTGAGTATGACCTGAGATTTCCCAGGAAGAAATTTTTCCACCTCATTCTTTTTCCTTCGTAATATGAAGGGCCTTATAACCTAAGTGTAAATGAAACAAAAGTCAGAAAAAAGGTGAAATAGGAAGAAATTTCGAGCTTAGAAGAGAGAAACACACTTGATGCAGACGCCGAATGATTAATAGTTGTTCTTCATCTGATAGAGAGACATCAACTCTGTCTGCAAAGGGGGCATTAAACCAGTCCTCAAAATTTTGAACGGAGTTGAATATGTTAGGAAGGAGAAAATTAAGCAGAGACCACAATTCTTGCAAACTGTTCTGAATAGGGGTACCAGTCAGCAAAAGTCTCCGTTGGATGTTATAGCTGCACACAAATAAAATCCAAAAATTAGAGAAGAGCTGAACCATCTGAAATGTCATACCACCCCGCCAGATAATGAATTGAGCCGACTCTTGAGTACTTCGACTGTTCTATGGAAAGTTTTGAAAGCTATCCCAGGGTACTTTCTTCTCTTTTTGTCTTTTAGTTCAGTATCCACATGTTGTTTAGTATCATTACATTAAAGTACTTTTTAGCATTATCAGACCTAACCCTCTTAATAATTACTCCGAACTGGTTTTTTAACATTGGGAAGAATTGTAGAAACCCATAACTAATTTCAGCCTTTGGTTTTATTAACAAACCTAAGTGATCCTAGTACAATCATATAAAGACTAGAAACCAGCAGGGGGACCTAATATATTTGAATGTAAGAGAAGCCCACACAATAGTAAGAATAAAGTACATGCACTAATATGTTTAAATAGGTTATTCTAAACCTAATAAACCTGGTTAATTGACCGAATACAATTATAGTTATTAATTATAAATATACACTATTCACAACAGGTACATATTAATCATTTTATTAAAATATATATATATATATATATATATATATATATATATATATATATATATATATATATATATATATATATATATATATATATATATATATATATATATATTAATCGGTATCATCAATATTCATCATGTAGAATCGTACCTATTGTCCAAGGTTTTCGCTAGAACAGACTCATGATTCTTCAACCGATGACCTTCATCCACAATTAAGTAGTTCCATTTAATTTTCTTGAGAAATGCTTTGTCTCTCATTATAAGATCATAATGAGTTATCATAACATTAAATTTCCCCTCTCCTGAAAATTCATCCTTTATTGCTTTTCTCTCATCCATTCGTCCATCATAAAGAATAACTTTAATGCTGTATCAGAAAGAAAAGGCACAAGTGATTTAAAGCCGGTATGAATGTGCACAATTGAAATAGATAGTTCAAACTTCTTTCCCTTCTCCCCACAAGGAGAGCAGGGAAAGAAATAATTTGCAATTTCTGACTAGACTTACGTAGGAGCCCATGTTGAGAATTCAATGATCCAGTTAGGCAGAACTGCCTTTGGAGCAACAATCAAGTGGGGACCAGTCACACCTTTGTACTCTAAAAGATGTGCTATGAGAGAAATAGTTTGTATTGTTTTCCCAAGCCCCATTTCATCAGCCAAAATCCCATTTAAGTTGTTATTAAACAAAGAAATCATCCATTGCAACCCCTCTATCTGATATGATCTTAATTCTCCACCTTGAAGTATAGACGGTTGTTCAGTTACCTGCAGATAAAATTTATGTTTCCAATGAAATACAACTTCATTGAAGTAAAATAACTTCTTTATTTTCTTTTCCTTAACTAAAGAAGAAACATATAAAGATAGAAAACATTACAATTAATTCAAAAGATAAGAAATTCTCCTAGATATTAGAGAAAAACAATGAAGAAAACGTAAAGTATCAATAACGAATGGCTGTCAATACTTCAGCATATCGGTAAAGGAAATAATATGCATTACACCAAATATATGCCAAGGAACTAAATTTGTTCCAAACAGCTGTAATGGCAAACATCTAATCAGGGAACAAATTGTGTAAACAAACTTCATTGCATTTCTGGCCAAAAAGTGAATAAAGTGATTCATGTATGCTTTACCTTTTCCTGAATTGAATGAATGGCAGAATTGTATTGTCGCTGACCTTCAAGTAAATCGTTTGAGTCACCATCATTATGATCAGAATCTATCGCATCTATATCTTCATCAACAGGTGATTCCTTAGAAATTCCATTCTTTGAGGCATCTGACTCAGGTAAATCAGCTTCGGAATCTTCCAAAGGTTCAATGCCATCTGAATGTTTGAAGTCCCTTTGACGTTGAACAGCTGCTCCTAAATTTACCAATAGTTTATTTGTTTCTTCAAGAAGCAAAGTTAATCTTTCATTCTTACTCTCTTTCACCATTCTCATGTATGCTTCTTGATCATCAGCCTTCAAGGCCTGGAATCTCAATTTCTCTGCACGGGTTGCCCTTTGTCTTTGCCTTCCATGCCATGCCTGCAAAATCATTTGTGGGAACTCATGAGCCATGTTCAATAAATGACAAATTAGCTTTCTACCCACAACAAAGAGAAAAAAACGTCATGAACATATAACTGTACATGAATGGAAGTGGTGTTGTCTATTTCAAATCTATGACCACAATAACAACTTAGCATTCTAACTCCATAATAAATCAAAGGAGCAAACCACAACCTTGTTATTAAATGAAGATTCAGGTTAAATGGGAAACTGAAAGAATAAATCACAATACAAACAACAAAGTGTTAAGTGGAAATTCAAATTAAATGTTGAAACTGGAAATCAGTAAGGAGAAGTACTAAATGAAGGTTGAGAGGCATAGGATATTTTTTGGAGACTGCGCTGAGCCCGGAGAGGACTTATGTTCAAAGCGAAGCAAAGGTTAAGTAGCGAAAAAAGCGTGGAGGTTTTGCTCTATGGTCTGAGCTCTGGTGAAGATTGTAAACACAGGTGAAGGTCTGAAGTCTGAACCATAGGAGAGTTTTGAAGAGGAGCATTTAGCTCGAAAGCTTAAGATCTTAAGTGGAGCTTTGATCCTAAACACTGAAGGGAACAAATTAAACAAACTCAGACTGTATTTTAGGCCTTTTTTCTTTTGGTGTCCTCAGACTCACTAACTCGTGAGCTTGAGCGAATTTTTCCAAGTCTATTTGAGTCTACCGAGACAGGTAAACTCATCCAAGTTGAATGACTCGTTAACTCGTGAGTTTGAAAACCATGTTCATTAGTCATTACTGTCGCACTATATCGTGATAGTGTATATTACCATATGGAATATTCTGAGCAACTTTTAATATTCTAGGAGATTCTTGGTCAGCATTTGTTAGACATCTAAGTGTTAGAATGTGATTTCTGATAGATTTAATTATTTCTGTTGTGATAAAAGACTTATCGAGAAAGCTTGGGCATATTTATAAAATCTTCTGTAAACTATTCAACATTTAGAATACAGTTTCGGATTCAGAAACGGTTTTTTTTTTAACGTTCTCTTTTTCTCAATTCTCAATATCTTAAACTCTCAATGAATTCTAACAACTTATATCCAGCTCACTGATTTAGAATCAAAATTCAGAAAAGCTTCAACACTCATTTGGTTAAATATTGAAGTTCACAAAGGAAATAAAACAATTTAGGAGAAATAGGGGCAGAGAGGTCCAATGAAATTTAATGGGACTAAAAGTGAATAAAAAGCTCTTGGATACTGTTAATATTTGGAAATATAGTGTTAAGAATATTTGTATATAGAATAGTCTCACGTCGACTATATCATGTAATTAGTTGTAATCTCTCTATATATAATAGTGTCTCCGTAGTGTTTTTTCAAGACACATGGTTTATTCATATGTCTCTTAGTCTCTTGTATTTCAACATGGTATCAGAGTCTCGTTTAAGATCCGGTGGGCCACCTGCTATTAGGTTTCTGCTATCGAGTCACCCACCATTTATTTCCACGCTCCAGATGTCCAGTCCTGGGCGTGAGGGGATGTGTTATGAGTCCCACATCGGACAATATATGGCATGAACATGTGTTTATAAGTGGGGGTAATCCTCACTCTTCCAACCGGTTTTGTACTAACTCAACCACATTTCTCAACATGATATCAGAAGTGACAATGCCCATGAATATTTGTCCCAACAATTTCAAAATTTTATGTCACACAATGGTATTCTCCATCAAACGTCCTGCCCTCCAACACCTCAACAAAACGGTGTAGCCGAAGGCAAAAATCGGCATCTCATAGAAACCACTCGGACCCTACTTCTCCATGGTAATGTTCCACTTCGGTTTTGGGGGGATGCTGTGCTAACGGCATGTTACCTTATAAATCGCATGCCCTCATCTGTCCTTAACAATAAAATCCCTCATTCAATCATTTTTCCCAATTCCTCCCCGAGTCTTCGGGTCCACATGTTTTGTACACAATCTCTCCCCTGGTCTTGATAAAGTGTCAGCTCGATCACTAAAGTGTGTCTTTCTTGGTTATCATTGATCCCAAAAAGGTTATCGTTGTTATTCACATACTCTACAACGATACCTCATATCGGTCGATGTTACCTTCTTCGAGTCTATTTCATATTTCGAGTCCAAGCAAGCAACTCTGAAACCCCTTCAGGAAAGTATTCTCACACCTCTTTTGGAAGTCCCATCTGCCATTGTCCCCCATCATTCTAAGGAACCTAGCCCACTAGATAGGCCTACAGTTGACCCCCCACTTCTCGCCCACTTCAAACATATCAACGTCGTCAACCAATGTCTGTCTTACTTGTTCCTGAGGTCGTACCTGTCCCTGAGGTCGTTGCAGACTCTCTTCCGACGCTCTCGTCATCACCGGATCCGATCCTGCCACCTGAGTCCGATCTTCTGATTGCCCTTCGAAAAGGTATTCGTCAAACACGAAATCCTTCTCCACATTATATTGATTTATGTTATCATCGCCTTTCTCCTTTGCAGTATACTTGTTTGTCTTCTTTGTCTTCTGTTTCTATAAAACTCCAGGTGAAGCATTATCTCACCTTGAATGTAGGCAAGCAATGATTGATGAAATGTGTGCTCTTCAAAGCAGTGGTATCTGGGAACTGGTTCCTCTACTCCCTAAAAAATCTTTAGTAGGTTGTCGTTAGCTTTATACAGTGAAGGTTGGTTCCGATGGTAAGATTGATCGATTTAAAGCTCGTTTGGTAGGCAAAGGATACACTCAGATTTTTGGGTTAGATTATAGTGATACCTTCTCGCCTGTAGCCAAGATGGCATTTGTTAGACTTCTTCTAGCCGTTGCAGTCATTCGACATTAGTCTCTTCACCAACTTGACATTAGAAATGCTTTTTTACATGGGGATCTTGAAGAGGAAGTATATATGGAGCAACCACCTGGGTTTGTTGCTCAGGGGGAGTCATCGAATATGGTGTGTATATGGTGTGTAGGCTACACGGGTCTCTTTATGGTCTTAAGCAATCTCCGAGAGTTTGGTTTGACAGATTCAGCGCTGTAGTATAAAATTTTGGTATGGTCCGTAGTGAAGCTGACCATTCTGTTTTTTATCGTCACTCAGCTCAAGGGTGTATTTATCTTATTGTGTATGTAGATGATATTGTCATAACTAGTAGTGATCAACAGGGAATACTCCAGTTAAAACAACATCTCTCGAATCAATTTCAGATAAAAGATCTTGGTAAACTTCGTTATGTCTTGGGTATTGAGGTAGCACAATCTAAAGATGGTTTGGTGATTTCTCAGCGAAAATATGCTATGGATATTTTGGAAGAAACAAATTTGTTGAATGTTAAACCAGTTGATACTCCTATGGATCCAAGTGTCAAACTACTATCCAATCAAGGGGAACCTCTATTTGACCCAAAAAGGTATAGGGGATTGGTTGAAAAGTTGAATTATCTCACAGTCATTCGTCCGGACATTTCTTTTGCAGTCAGTGTGGTAAGTCAGTTCTTAAATTCCCCCTGTCAGAAACACATGAATGTTGTTATTCGGATTCTAAGATACATCAAATGTGCTCCAGGAAAAGGTCTAGTGTATGAAGATAAAGGACATACTCAGATAGTTGGATACTCAGATGCTTATTGGGTAGGGTCACCCATTGATAGACGATCTGCTTCTGAGTATTGTGTACTTGTTGGAGGAAATCTTATATCCTGGAAGAGTAAGAAACAAAACGTTGTTGAAAGATCAAGCGCCGAGGCAGAGTATAGGGTCATGGCAATGGCAACATGTCAACTTATTTGGTTAAAACAGTTGCTCAAGGAACTTCAAATTGAAGAAGAAAGAACAATGACACTTATTTGTGATAATCAAGCTGCATTGCACATTGCTTCAAATCCAGTCTTCCATGAGAGGACCAAACATATTGAGACAGACTGTCACTTTGTCAGAGAGAAGATCGAGTCAGGTGACATCGTCACAAGCTTTGTCAACTCTAATGATCAATTGGCAGACGTGTTTACAAAATCCCTGCGAAGCTCCAGAACTAATTATATATGTAAGATGCTTGGTGCATTTGACTTATATACTCAAGCTTGAGGGGGAGTGTTGATTTTTGTAAATATAGTGTTAAGAATATTTGTATATAGAATAGTCTCACATCGACTCTATCATGTAATTAGTTGTAATCTCTCTATATATAATAATGTCTCCGTAGTGCTTTTCAAGACACACAGTTTATTCATATATCTCTTAGTCTCTTGTATTTCAACAGATACCATGCACTATGAAAACCACTAATATACCAAATTCTCATACGAAAAGGCTGTCCAGAACTTCTGATTCTGACAACCTAAAAGTATATTGCACCTATCCAGCATAAAAAAACAATGATTTATAACTATTAGACTAAAGAGTCATTCTCCATATAATCACATGTGCATTGTTTCTATAGCGCGTAGAAACTTGTGCTTAGAAAATAGTGTATGTAGTTATTGCACAATTATGATGTTCATGTTACCTATTATGTATATAAACAGATCAGTTGTGAGTTCAAGACACACACTTGCCAAACCGTAATTGCATCTTTTACAATAACAAATGAAAGATAGAGAAAAAAAAAGATTGTACCTGGACACCATCATTCCTCTGTTTCCTCCGCTTCAAAGAAGCTTGAATTTGTAACTGGAGCTCGCGGACAGTATTGAGTATTTCTGCAAAAAACCTTCTTTTTGTAGTCTCTATATGATTTTTCTCCGCCTCTTCTAATCTTGACAGTTTCTGCATTTCAGTGTCTATAAGAGATAAGCAGTGCAGACTAATTTCATTACATGCTCAGATATTGGAAAATCATGCATATATCAGAAGAAGAAAAAAACTAAAGCACTAAGCCCCAAGTCTTGTATGTTTAACTAGTATATATGTGGAAGTTCATTTATAAAAGTTGAAATCCCAGATAAAATTACATTTCCTAGTTCCTAAATAATTGTATGCATCTATGAATGAGTTTGTATGTGTCAGTCTATCTGCCTGTGTTTTTCGACCTGCCATGTTTTGTTCCTTTATTTGTAGAAAGAATTGATAAATGACATTCGAATTATAATGTATCTAATAAGAGAAGACAGCCACGTCCTTTCTTTTCCTTCCCCGTGTGACAATGTTTATGATCTCAGATTTACAATAAGATGATATTGGATTTTTCAAGCCAGAATTTAAGAAAAAATTACATAGGTGTCAAAAGATCAATTAAAGGAGTTGACCAATAAGAGATTATTTCAAAAATAGATAATCACCTCAGAATCCCGTTTCTTCCTTAATTGATCATCAGCGTCCATGGAAAATGGATCTCCAACTCCATAGAATGGACGGCGCAGTCTCATCATGCCCCAATCAAACAATTTCCTGTCAGGATATGCACATTCAACATTGAGCCAGTATTCAGAACTCACATCAGACCGAATCTTTGACTGCAACTCTGCTAACTGCCAGAAGAGAAGTCCTTGCCAATAAGGACATGTTTATTGTCATTTCTCAGTTATATAGAGAAAATATAAAAATTAAAGCTTAAATAGATTTCTGGTACCACTATTTTCTTAAATTCACTATTTGGTCTCCTATTTTATATTTCACGAATTCGACCCCACACATAATACTTTTTAGAGTACTTTTTAATTATATTTTTGGTCTCTCAATTTCAAGGATTTTTGCAAACCCACAAAGGGTAATTTAAAATGTGAAGAGACCAGTTTTGCAAAAATAAGAAGTATGATGACAAAAATTGTATTTAAAATAAACTAATTGCCTCGTTAGAAATTATTTCTAACCTATGCCTTTCATAATGAAGTAAGTTATAAAGTTGTTGCATCTGTGGAATGTTTTACTTATACCAGTAGTCAAGCAAAGTCATACGATAGACACAATGGAAGAAGACAGAATGACAACAGTCATCTGTTCTGTATCTTCATAAACAAAAAGCAATTTGTACGAACTCTAGTAAAAGAACACAACCTATTAAGAAAAGCAGACTAAACAACGACATAGCTTAAAATAAATGAAGGACAATTAAGTTCCATACTAAAAGAAATTTCAACGATCAATTTGTGGAAGAAAGATTCAAGAATCAATTTTACCTTCAGTCCATAAAGTTCAAGCAGGCACTTTGTCTGCAGGTCCTCTCCCCTGCTTGAAGGCAATTCTAGTTTGAAACAGTAATACAGTTCTTCAGTAAAATTGTAAAGATTCTTATTGAGAAAGCACTTTCATTTACTGGATATGATACTTGGGGAGACATCCTGTTCAGAAATATCTTAAAGCTACTTGGTCTGTCAATACAACAACGAAGTTTCCAGGCTCATAAATTGGTTTCAGAAAGAAACTTCATTATGTTCATATTCTAAGAAGACTATATAAAATAATTATAAAAAAAAAAGTAGAAATAAAAATATTGTCATGAGGTGCTTGATGAGGCTGCCTAAGCGCTTCAGTATATGGGAAACCTGATGCAGATGAGAAGCAAATCCTTCTTCTTCATGATGCTGGTGCAACTAAAATTCAAATTTGGCAATTTGTTCAATTCTCCTCACTTAGAACATACATTAGGAAATTGGGATCTAATGAAAAAGTATCTCTACCACATATGACCGGTAAGCCATTTATGATTTAGCAATAACAAACTTACAAAAACTAACAATTAAAAGCTTGAGTTTAACCATGAAAGCAATTAGTTGAGGGAGTGTTTTAGAGAAAATTATTAGATACCTGAATTCCTAACCTTAAACATATTTAAACTATACAGTCTACCCATTATGATATGACATGTTTATCACTTAATGGAAGACACATGGAGAGAAACACACTTGAGCATTGTTGAAGCTTGTTTTAATTGTCGGGATGTGAATGGTTATATCTTTCTGAATAAGACTGATGACCTTGATGGATGATGGCTAGGAGAGATGGATGGTCCCAAAAAGGAATTGGTATATGGTGATGTATTTTTAACCCAATTTGGAGTATTTTGATGCAACAGATGGTCCTTACAAAGAGGAAGGAGCCAACTGAAAGGAAACAGTAGATGAAGAAATTGAGGGCCGCAGATCTAGCAATGCTGATGAGAGCAGTAATTATGATAATGAGATATAGATTGTAACGACAATGGCTGGCAATCTCGGGATTTGGGAGACTTTCGGTCTTATTTAGTAAAGTGTTCTTTATGACTTGACTTGACTTGGCCTGGGGTACACTTACCTTATTATATTTCTATTATAGCCTCTTTAATTACTTTCTTTTTCAATTCATTGTTAATTTGTCATTGCGTAGTTTGCATTAAAATCTTATTTTAGGGACGACTCAGTTGTCTGGAAAAATTTAGTTCTTTATTTTCATTGTTTTCTTCAAAACCCATGCCCCTTTAGTGAAACAGCCACATTGCCTCATCACATCATACTAAGCTCCAAAGTGATGTGGTTTGGGGTCTTACTTCCTCAACCTGCTTTTCTCCTCCAGACAACACTAACAAACTAACATAACAAAGCAATCATCCTAACCACATAATCCTTTTGAAATTTATGCATGAAATAGTTCCAGCTAGTTCAGTAGTAATGGATTTGCACAAGCTAAACCTCTAAGTATCAATAGTAGCGTAGCAACATCGTGCAGATATATCAACCAACGGTAATGAAAACAAAAGAAGCATATATAAATGAAACCTCAATTCTATGCCAAGCTAACATGGAAACAAGCAAAAAATATATATGCAATATACGTATTTCCTTTATACTGTTGCTGACCTTCAAGCTCATTTAACCGATGCCAAATCTGACTTTGATGGCGGCTTTCCATTGCTTCCTCCAATTTGAAACGTGAAGCACATTTTGGGCGCTGTTCCAATATTGCATCTTTAAGATCTGTTATTAAATCATCTCCAGAACTCCCTGCATCACCCTGCATTCACAAAAACACAGAAACATTATTATATAATTCGTATCAAAACTTTTTCAATTGTAACCAAGAAATAATATTACACACACAGCCAACTAATAAAAGAACAATCTATAACCAAACAACAAAAGAATGCACACACTTCAGCAAACAACTAAACAAAACGAAGTAGAATACACGTGTAAAGAAAACGAAAGTCAGGCAGCTGGTTCTTTGAAGTAAAGCTATAATAACAAACAGACAAAACGCCAGAATATCTTACCATATAACTTTCTAGACTTATTTAAATCACAAACAAAACAAAAATTAGTTCCAAATAATAAACAACAGTTCAATTGATTCAAATCAAAGTCTAATTTCTTACAACTTTTTAGCTGATCCAACTCTTGAACTATGGAAATCTTGTATTTAGAGAAAAAAAACTGAAAGGAAAACCTCTCCTCACCAAAACTCAACCGAATTTCAGCACGCGATAGCAATCGCACATTAGATTTAATTCGTAGCACTAAAAAATCAAAACAAACAAGCGCATGAAAAGTCACTTCTCAGTGAAGCAAATAAACAAAACGTGACAGAATAGAACTAATCGGAATTGAAACCGTGAATGAACTCTAACAGAATAGAACTAATCGGAACTGAAACCGTGAATGAAATCTAGCAGAATAGAACTAATCGGAATTGAAACCGTGAATTGAACTCTAAAACTCTAACAGAAAAGAACTAATCGGAATTGAAACCGTGAATGAACTCTAACTAGTCGAAATCGAATCGGAAAAACAAAAGAAATCGAAAGAAGAAAGGAAGAAAGTTGCATTACATTGACATCGCCATTGTTGCTGTGATGATAGATGGAAGAGACGGAGTTGAGGATGTGATTGGGAAGAGGAACGTCGCGAGAGAGAAAGTTGAGAGCACATATGAGTGTTTTGGTGTGTTGCTGTTCATTCTCGCTCTTCTCTTCATGATCTATCGCCATGGATATGGCGCGGGAGAGTACGCAACGGTGCCGTTTTCGTATTTTCTTTAACCGATATTTGAAATTATCAACTAATTGCTTGATCTCACGCTCTCATAGTCACGAAACTAATTACAAACTCTCTCGCGCACAAAACCCTTTCGTTCTTCGCCTTCTTTGTCTATTCGTATTTAGGGATCTATTTTCTTTTTCGCTTTATTTTTATTATATATACTTGTATTTTAGTATATTTACCAAAGGGTTACTCTTTTTCTTTTCTTTTCTTTTTTTCTTTATTTTTATCATGTCAATCATGCTTCTTTATTTATTTAGAAAAAAAAATAAGGTCAATGACGTGCATTTTATTAAATTATATATTTAATTTTAAAATAATAATATAACATAACATGATAATCTATTAAATAATTATGTAAATTAAATTAATTTACACTCACAATACATTACCTTTAATTTCTTATTTATTTGTAAGATTTTTTTTCCTTTTTATTGAACAAATATTCTTGTTTTACTTTGAAACTTAAAATATTTTTTATTTTTTATAAAGTAAAACATTTTATAAAAAAAAGTAGTTAGAACTTATTTTATTATTAGAAAAAGAGAAACAAAGTTACATTAAATGGAGATAAATTTGAATTAGAACCCACTAGTTTCTGTTATATATTTTTGTAAGTAGTTTCTTTATTTTGTGAAAGTTACACAATTCTTTCTTAAATAATTTATTTATTTTGTCAAAATTATACTGATAGAGTTATTTTTGTTTAATTTTGAAATGATTTGTTATCCTATACAACTTATAATAATTTAAATATTTTTTTAAAACAATTAAAAGTTATATTAGTATAAATATTTATTTTGCATTTATTATTTGTATTTGCGATGAGTACAGTATAATCTACCTGATATGTAATTAGGTATGAAAAGGACTAAGTATTTAGATATATAAGTGAATGGTTTTACTCAACCAATCAGTTGAGTATTTATAGATGAGAACTACATACCAGAAATAAGTGGGGAGGTCGGTTTTCACACCTAAATAATCAACTACATGTCTCGTGAGTATGACTCGTTAAAGGAATGACTGAGGTGAGTCACCTATTATGTTGGAAGTGAGATAAGTCCAATCAATACTTCAGTTATTCATTGATTGAGTCTTATTCGAATCAATTAGAATGTTGCCCACCACGTAATCCGTGTGAGGGAGTGGAAAGGGTTTGAAAAATGTTGGTTAAAATCAAAATCATTTCGAAAATTAGAGTTTAAAATCATTTTAAAGCAAACAAGTAATATGCAGCGGAAAAAGAAAATGGATGGAAAACAAAAGGAAAGAAAATAAAGTAAAAGAGATTAGGGAGAGAGAAAGACACCTGAGATTTATACAAGTTCGGCTTAAAAACTTGACATACTTTCGTCCTTAAAAATTCTTCTTGGGAGCTTTCAATTAGATATGTCTACAAACCTCCTTTTACAAGAATATGAATTTAATGGCTAACTTCCAACCAAACAACGAGTAAAGATTTTGTGCAGGGTGATATCGAACCAAGATGGAGTTTTATTCTAGTTATCCTTCGAACCTAGACGGAGTTTTATGTTGACTATCCTCTCAAGCAAACTACGGTTTTACACATGCTGACCTCCGAGCTGAACCGAGATTTTACACAGGCTAATCTCGAGCCAAAATGAGATTTTACACAAGTTAGTCTCGAACCGACAAAGCTTTTACACCAAGATGAACTTAGAAACCAAATGAGATTTTACACAAGCTAACCTCAAACCGATGGAGCTTTTACACTGGTTGAGCTCACAAACTAAAAGAGAGTTTTTCTTCCAGGTGAAACTCACAAACCAAATGGAGACTTCCTAAGAGAATTTCTTAAATTAAACAAGAGTTTTGACTAGTTTAGTTCGTAATAAAAACAACTTCTTATAGAATAATATTTTACTCAAAAGATAATACACTCTTGATAAATCACAATAATACCCTTACCTAGAATAATGATTTTATCTTAAGCACAAGAACACTCTCAAAGTACTAATACACTCTTTCGACCATGGTTGATGCATTTTAAAGCATCACGGTAATGTAGAAAAATAAATTATCATTAGAAAATTCGAAGAGTTATAACACATGTGTTTTAAAGAATAAATAGAAATAAATTTTACCTCTTTGTCCGACATATGACTAGCACATGATCCTCATACAAAGAAAACAATGATAAATCATATGGGCCTTCTCTAAACTCCTCAAGAACGACAGCAGCAGGTTCATTAATCTCAGGTTCATTAATCTGGACGAGTTGGGCTTCCGGGGCAGTAGCAGGTGACACCTGCCTCCTCCGGGAAGACGAACTCAGAGATGCATGAACCCCATAAGTTAACGCATACGCATCAAACGAATAAGCATCGACTGATAGTCGTGTGGGTCAAGTTTTTCCCTGCAAATTGATGTATGTTGTGACACTCTGCCAAACTTTAATTGATCTTTTCTAACAACCATGTTACCTATAATTAAACCAGACAAGGTAGAGAAAATCAAAACCATATGAAACACATTGGAAATCAAGCAAAACAATGTAGACAAATAAAATACGGAAGTGCATTTCCGTATCTGGAAAATCAAATTTTGAATAACTACAAAAGTGCATTTCTATATTCACGTGCAACTCAGGATAAAACACAAATGACGGAAATGCATGAAAATCAAACATGCTCCAAACACATTTCTCATCTAAACTACCTATCAAACACATTGCTTAGTTATACTACCTACATATTGATATATATTGTACAACCTAATGCTTAATTTCAATAAATTCATGTATAGAGAAATCAAGTGTGAAAATTTTGGATTAAAAAACTTATCAAATGTGAGTTTGATATTGGATCACTTCGATTGATTATATGTTAAGAATAGAAACTTAGAAGTGAGTTGAGATAGTTTGATAATTTGAGAGAGTTTGAGAGTTTGCGAGAGTTTGATAGTTTGAGAGAATATGCTGGAAATAAGAAAAGAGGAGAGTCTCACGCTTTTTTGATTAAAAAAAAACTTGTTTGGATGTCCATTTATGTATTAATTTTTCAAAAATAATTTTTCTTGTTACTTTTTAACAAAAATTAGAGTCTGACTCGTTTACGAATAGATTGTGTGTGAACTGGGGTGTGTTCGAGAATACATTTATTTAGAGCAAAAGTAGTTATGATTTTTCAAAGAGTGTGAGAGTAACCCTTAGATAGAGGAAAAGTAATTCCCTTAACTAGTTTGTTGCACATACTCATTATGTGAATAGTGACATTATTAAAATCTAAGAAAGAAATGGGAAAAATGTGATGTGACAAAGACTGAGGTAAGAATGTGATCCATTATGTTATAGGAGGATGTGAATGCATAGAGAATGGCATATTTTGATCATCTTGTTCAATGAAAATCTTAGAATTAAGAAGATGAGGAATCACATCTTCTCTTAGGAGCTTTGCTCTAGAGTTATAGTGGTTTATCATATGTAATATTTTTCTTTTTCAATTAATAATACAATCTCATTTTTTCTCATAATTTTAGGTTTGTAACACACATTCACTCACGTATATTGTGGACTATTCAATCAAGATCAAACCATTCATATTTAAATTTAAAATATTTAATTTATCACCTTCTTAATTAAATCTAACACTCTCAAATTATGTTTGCTATCAGTTGGTGCTCTTACTAAATTCTTTTTTAGATTTTTTGTATTTATCAAAATTTTAAAAAAAAAATCATAAGTTTTCAAAATTTCCAATAAAAAAATCATTGATTTCCGAAATAAATTTAAAAAAATCCTGAAATTTTTGAAAAAAAAAATTGAAAATTTTAAAGAAATTTTTTTTATCTTACCAAAAAGTCGAAATTCAAAATTTCTGATAAACTACCACATTTTTTTTAATTTGAGATAAACTACAGTACTTTTTAAAATTTCCAATAAATTATAACATTTAAAAAAAATTTGATAAAAAATTCATACCAACCATTTAAAAATGAAAATATAAAAAATTTGGTCTATTATCGAAATTTTGAATAAACCGTTTACATTTTTTATTCAATTATATCCATAAACAATTTAAGAATTATAAAAATAGGTAGGGTATCCGATTAAATTAAGATGGTGACAAGTTAATCGCTCTTAAATTTGATTTGATGTAAGATTAAAGGCAAAATTTAAACCGTTGGACCGATGTTCTATATGCATAGAATTTTGACTTCATTGAAATTTTTATTTTTATTTTTTTTCACCATTTACACTTTTTCTTCTTTACTATGTGTATTTTTTGGATTTGGATCTTCTCCTTTTTTATATATTTTAGCATCTCTTATATTTCTAATCTAACGGTTCAGAATTTATAATGAATAATTAAATAAAAGGCTTAATTGCAACTTTGGTCCCCCTATTTTGTATTTTTTTGAGTTTTGATTCCCCCATTTTAAAAACCACAATTTTGGTCTCTTTTTTAGGTTTTAAGATTAATATTAGTCCCCTTGTCATTTTAAGTCATGTTTTTAATGAGGTGGCACGTTGAATGTTGATGTGGCATTTCCATGTCAGTTAAAATGGTCTTTTTAAATTTAATATAATTTCCATGTCATTAACTTAAATATTATTTCATTTTCACAAATTTAATAAAATAAAACTTAAATAAAAATCCCATTAACGTAAACATTATTTCATTTTCATGTTCATCTTCAACCCATTGTAACCAACGAACAAGGTGAAGCTTGGTGTTCCCCCTTTCATTCACGAACGAACAGTGAAGATTGGTGATCCCCCCTTCATTCACGAACGAACAATGAAGATTGGTGATCCCCCTTCATTTTCATCTTCTTCTCATTGTAACCCATTTTCGTCTTCCCATTTCTTCAAACCCAGTTCTATATCAAACTGCAGCTCGCTTCAAATCAAACTGCAACTCGCTTCCCGTCGTCTCTGAAATGGCAAATCGAAGTTACGTGTCGAGGTATGTTTCGTAACTCA